CCTTAGCATTAATCTAGCATAAAATTCTAAAAAACTCATAACAAAACAATAAGCATATCACATGTATGGGTATTTTGTGAAAACTTACTTGAGCTCGAATTGCATGCATCACCACCCCTTTTTCTTAGAAAACCTTTTTAGAAAATTATTTTCTTTTAAACGATTTTAGAAATCCTCAGTTTGAGTTCAGACACACTCGAGAGTGTTCCCGAATCCCTCAAACCAAGACTCTGATACCAATTTGTAACGTCCCAAAAATTACTATGTAAAAATTTTGTTTTTAAAACCAACATAAACATCATTCGTTCTTTTCAAAACCCATCAAAATGTGATCATGTATAAATTAGTTATCAGAGTAAAAATCATGTCATAAAATATGGAAATCTGGTGGATGCGATGCGATCATGCCCGACCCTTCCCTTTCGAGCTGGAAGTACCTGAAACCATAACATAAAACTGTAAGCACAAAACTTAGTGAGTTCCCCCAAAATACCCCATACCATACATACATAACAGTCAAAACTAAATTGGGTCTATTTCAATCCCTTCGGTCTCTTTCAACCGGTACTCGGTCTATTTCACCCTCTTCATTCTCTTTCAACCGGTACTAGGTCTATTTCACCCCCTTCGCTCTCTTTCAACCGGTACTGGGTCTATTTCACCCCCTTCGGTCTCTTTCAACCGGTACTGGGTCTATTTCACCACTACAGCTAAGCATACAATCATATCAGCAAGGGTGACAAAAGACAAAAAGCATATACAAGCATAACAGTAAGTGTCACAAAGACAACTATCATCCTACAAACAATCCAGTGGGCTGACATTGGTGCCTTCGACCCACGACTATAGTGAAGAAACTCACCTGAACTACTCAACAGTAGCCCAACAGTTACCTCAACATCAGAACAACCAACCCAGACTTCCTAAAACCTAATTGAGACCAATTCTTAGTCAAATACTCAATTCTACCCAAGTTTGACCAAAAGTCAAACTGGTCAAAAAGTCAAAGGAGTTCAACACAGATTGAGTACACCCAACATACTCAGTCATTACGCTCAGCGTAGTACATCCCTTCCTGATTACTGGGCTCCAGCATGGTACTCTCAGTGTAATACCAGGTACGCCCACCGTACTTGACTAGTTCCATTTTCCTTCATTAAGTGCTTATTTCATTAAGATCTTATGTCCAAAGCTCAAATCTAGTCCCAAATAATATTCTAAGTCATAAAGTTTCCAACTTTATGACTTTCCATGGCTAGAAGGAGTCCACACACGAAAACCCTAACTTAATACACAAACCAATCATCATAACTCTTGCATGGAGGGAAGAAAGGGACCAAGATCACATTTTTATGGTTCCTAATAGCTCCATAATAGATGAAGTTTCCAACTTTATCCATTAGGATAGTCCAAATAACCAAGATCTAGTCTTTAAGTCTTAAAGGGACCAAAAATACATCTTTCTCAACTTAATCCATTAATTCCAAGTCTCCAACCTTCAGATCTGAATCAGTATGATGTTTATATGGATAAAGTTTCCAACTTTATCCATAACAAGGTCACAAAACTTTCAAGATCTAAACTTTATGCACTAAAGTGACCAAAAAGCGACAAATATGAAAATTAACAAGGTCTATGAAACTAATGAGAAGGTCCAGAAATGATGTAATCTTGTTGGATCTATGCTTGAATCCTTCTTTCATACACTTTGCCACCACCTTGTTCTTCAAGATCCCACCTTATAATGGAGAATATGCTTATAAATGATGCCAAAGCTCAAAATAGGTGAGAGGAGTCTAGGGTTTCGAGGTAGAGGCTTAAGAGGGTGGAGGCTCATGATAGGAAGGACCCCCAAGGGGTTAGAGACCTTAAATAGGGCTCAAAACCATGAAAATAGGATTTTTACTCTGCGACGGTACGCCAAGCATACCTAAAGTACGCCCTAAAAATGCTTTTCGTCAGCCTAGTACGCCCAACGTACTAGCTAGTGTACGCCCAACGTACTGTCATACTCTTTGTTTCTAACTTAACTTCAAACAACCATAACTTTTTCGTTTCAACTCCATTTTCGATGATCTTTATATCCACGGAAAGGTATCGACGAGATCTACAATTTATCTTGATACTTATGACTAAAAACATCTCGAACTAAAATCTTTAATTTATGCAAGAATCCTGAAACATAACCTTTCTCATTTTACCCCTCAGATTTCATTGAACAATCAAATGTTTAAATCATTTGTCCAACATCATATACGTCCAATAGAGTCTGAACTCCATTCCATTGAAGCCCAAGGCCTCCATTTGATCAATTTATCGTCCACAATCATGAAATAAGAACTTATCGAAATATGATGTTACATATAATATATCTAAAAATTTATAAATAAAGATTATTAAAAAAAAATTCAAATATACGAAGATAAATATTTAATCATTAAAAAAGGTTGCAAAAATTTTTATGGACCGAGGAATATTTTTAAAAAATAATTTTTTTTATTGAACACGTTTTATATTAGAATAACTTTAAGATATTTGAAATTGTTTATTTAGAATGTGTTTATTAATTTATTTTGATTTCACACTAATAATAAGCAATTTTAAGTGTTTGGATTGCAAAAAAAATATTTATCCCTGTGTGATACATGTAATAAGCATTTTTTGATAAGTTTTGTTTTAACTTATTAGAAACTCATCATTAAGGATGGAGACCAAATTAGAGATTCATCATTAAGGATGGAGACCAAATTAGAGCCGTAAACAAACTAAACAAACATGAACAAGGTTTGTACAAGTTTGTTTGTTTAAGTTTAACCAAACTAAGAAAAGAATACAAACACATAAACAAACATATATTCATGTTTATGTTTGTTTGTTTAAAATATTACCTTGTTCATGTTTGTTTGTGTCTGTTCATTAAGATGTTAAATGAAAATACACCAATGGATAAAAACAAACACACATTAATGAGCATAAATCTACGAACACAAACGAGCATATATAAAACATATACAAATAACATAAATATTCAAAAGAGTAACCATACATAAATATAACTAGACCGTAAGCCATCCAATTTCCTAAAATAAGTCAAAAATAAAATCTAAAGATCACATTCATCCAAATATATTTCATGGAAAGTCAAACTTGAAAAGTTTCATATTTTATTCTTATTGCAGCCATATATTTTCTCCAAATTTTAAACTGCGTAGAACTTCACCCCTTTAATGAGGTCATACAAGTTAATCATATATTATTAGACCATTTATTAGTAACAACATCATATTAACAAATAAAAGAACAAGAAATAGCAACTTATTGCATTAATTTACCTAAAAGATAATCATGATTTGTCGATCCTCAAAAATCATGACATACCAACATATATAATGTCATAAACAAATCTTAAAAAAAAATCTAAATGAGCATAAACAAAATAAAAACATAACGAATGAACGTAAACAAACAAATATAAACAGACATACAAACAAACATAAACCACTTGGGTTGTGGTGGTTTGGTAAGACATGTGAAAGATATGGTGGATAACCTATTGACTCATGTTCAAATCCTGACACCACTCAGCCCTTGTGACCATGGATGTTCGACTGCATTGACTCCAGGGCATGAGGCAAAACTTTATGTTTGCAGCGGGGATTAGTCGGTGCGCGAAAGCTGACCCGAAAACCCTTATTAGGGAAGTTCCCTTTCCAAAAAAAAAACAAACAAAAAAACATAAACAACAATTCATAAACATAAAAAAATGAAGAAAATCAATGTTTATGTTTATTTTTTTAACTAAACAAACAGAAAACCTTGTTCATATTCGCTTGTTTAATAAATAAACAAACATAAACAAATGTCATACGTAACGGTTCGCGAAACATTTGGTTCGTTTACCTCCTAAACCAAATTACACATTTAGGTGTTGTTTGTTTTTTTTTTAAAAAACCATTTCAAACCATTTTCTGCTGCGCGGCGCAGCACACGCGCAGCACTTTCCCTCTCGCAGCAGTTTGTTTTTTAGAAGACTTCAGACTGCAAAACCTCTGTGCGTGTGTTGTGTGGCGCAGCACTTGACTTGCCTCTTCAAACCTCTTCAGCTTTTATTTTTTTTGAAGTGTTTTTTTTAGAATTTTGGTATAACTTATTTTTTTTAAACTTTTTTTTAAAAAAAGCTTTTATTTACGGATTTGATACAATTTCTTATTATAGTTTCCACAAATTTTTTTAACTTGATTTAAAAAGAAAACTTTGATTTTTTTAATTTTTTTACCTTTTCTGTTAATAATATTTTTCAGTTTCGGTTTCATCTTTTTTAACATGTATAATTTTTTACAAACTTTGTAGACATCGTTTGCAATACTTTCTTAATTTTTTTATTATTTTCTTTTTTATGTTTTTTAAAATTAGTTTTTTTCTAGAATAAAGTTGTTAGCTTTTTTTATATTTTTGTAAGTTTTTTTTAAAAAGTTTTATATTTTTATTTTTTTATATGTTCTTTTTAGTACTCTTTCAATGTTTTAATACTAGAATTATTAAAATTTCGGTGTTGAGAACTATTTTCAGTTTATAAAATTAGTTTATTTAAATTTCAGTTTACTGCAGATGTTAAAAAACAAACATGCTTCTTATTATGGACTGCAGCCGTTTGTTCCACCCCTTCTGCTACAGAGGATTGCAGATGTGGTCCACAGACTTCATGAATTTTCGTTTCGAAAAAACAAACAGCACCTTAGCCTTCATTTAAAGAAACAACAATATGTTAGATGACCTTTTCTGTTAGTTTTATATGTATAAACAAAATTTATCAAAACCTAAAAATCAACTTATTTAATTATTATGTTTTGGTAAAAAAATCAACTAATCTAAATCTAAATGTTTTTATAAAATTACATTTGTGTACGGATAAATTGATAAACATTTCTAAAAACACATAAGAATTTAGATGTTTTGAAAAAAGTGAAGTAGCCCAAGATCACATCGACTAGGCCCAATTTATACGATCAAATCCATTTTCCACCGCCTTAATCAATGCAAATTGACAAATACTATCACAGAATTTCGATCTTCCGTTCACGTTTCCAATTGAATCAACCTCAATCCATAATTGATCTTGAATTCTTGACAGGAAGAAGATAAACCCCAATCTTCATCACACTTCCCAAAGTTCAAGCAACCTTTTTGTCATCATCATTCTTCTCTTTCTTCCTGATCTCTCTATTCATACAACTATACATATCTCTCTTTGAGAAATTCTATACTCTCAACTCTCAACCTCTCAGTGTTTGTGAAAGTAAATCTTTTTGTGGGTTTTCTTGATAATATGCAACAGCAAGGCGGAGGAGATGCGAGTCAACGCATCGCTAGAATCTCAGCTCACCTAAATCCTCATAAACCTCAGGTTTCCCTTCTCAATCATATCTCTTCTTCCTTCTGTTTGATTAATCTTTAATCAATTTCGTAACTTTAAGTTCTAAATTATTCAGTTATGAATCATGATCTTCCTACCTTTTTGTATGTGTTATGACTGACAACCGTTTTTCTTTAGAGGTCAAACGTAGTGACCGTTAATTTTGAAATCGATGCTCAATTTTCAGAATTTAGATTCTGGAAAATTGTTTGATAAACACACAGACTTCTCAACACTCTGTACCTAATGGAAAAATGTTGATCCTCTTAATTAAATTCGTAAATTTTGGATGTGGAAAGTCCAATTTTGACTCTAGAAGTCAAAATTGTACATTGGTTTTCAATTTCATTACCATTTACTCGATATACAACAATAAGCAATTGAAATTTCTTGATCACGTAACCTAATCGCTTACGATATTTATGCTCAATTTGAGTTCTGAATTGGTATTTTGAATATCTGTGTGTATGTAATCATGATTTGAAGATGGAAGGAAGATGTAATTTGGAAACAGCAAATTGTCGAGCAAAAGGTGGAGCACCTGGATTCAAAGTAGCGATATTGGGTGCAGCTGGAGGCATTGGTCAGCCACTTTCTTTATTAATGAAGATGAATCCGCTTGTATCTGTCCTCCATCTTTATGATGTTGCTAATACTCCTGGTGTCACTTCTGACATCAGTCACATGGACACCAGTGCTGTGGTAAGTTTTCTCCTCTCAAATGTTTGTTGAGATTCTTATAAAATGAGTCCAAGGCTTTTGTGTATACTTTACGTATTTGGTTATTTCCTTATTTCCGCTCCAGTTTGGAGTGTTTGGAGAGCGTTGGTGAAATTGGGGTGGCTTGAGAGATTAGTCTTTGTGATTGTAACAATTTATCATATAATGGATTTTTCTATCCAGACATCCATTGTTTTTCTCTAGTTTTGAAGTTTTCTATCTATATTTTAATTTTCATTGGAGGGATTGTTGGGTATCTCGGAGATCATTTTTCCAATAGTTTCTTTAGCTATAGTCTGCTACAAACTTCTTTTTTTTTTAACAAACATCGATTTATATATCAATTTTATTCATCCACTGATAATTTTTTTTTGAAACATAGGTGCGTGGTTTTCTCGGGCCACAACAATTAGAAAATGCACTTACTGGCATGGATCTTGTCATCATTCCAGCAGGTGTTCCTAGAAAACCAGGAATGACAAGAGATGATCTTTTCAACATCAATGCAGGAATTGTTAAACCCTTTGTGAAGGAATTTCTAAATCTTGTCCTAAAGCTATTGTTAACATAATTAGCAACCCTGTAAATTCCACAGTTCCAATCGCTGCAGAAGTTTTTTAAAAAATCTGGGACTTATGATCCAAGACGACTCTTAGGAGTTACAATGCTTGATGTTGTTAGAGCCAATACTTTTGTGGTATGTAACATTTAGTTATTTATTTATCTTAATTCTTATCCGTTGTTTGTGTTGACTATGTTGACTTTATTTGTGATTGAAGGCTGAAGTTTTGGGACTTGATCCGAGGGAAGTTGATGTTCCAGTTGTGGGTGGGCATGCTGGGGTTACAATCTTACCTCTTCTATCTCAGGTATTAAAACCCGAGGGAGGTTTTTCACTTTTTTACCAATTTGTGTGAGTGCATAAATTGGTAAAAAAGTGAAAAAGTGAAACATAACTTGATAAAAGAAAGTGCAACATTGTTGCATGAATTAGTAAAAATGAAAAACGTTGTTGCATAAATATGTAATAATGTAAAAATGAACATGTTATTGTTAACATCGCATATATATATATATACTATAGAATCTAAAATTTCTTGAAATGTTTAGAACAGATTGTTGATTTTTTTTAATCTCATATATTTTGTTATAGATGAAGCCTCCATGTTCTTTTACTTCAGAAGAAACTTCATACCTGACATCTCGTATTCAGAATGGTGGAACTGAAGTTGTTGAGGTAACATTTTTCAAATAGAATGAAAATTAACATTTCTAGCATTAGATATTTATATGATTCGCAAATTTGAAAATTGGTTACTATTTGATGACCTTTTATTAATGATTCACGAATACAATGTAACACATTATTCTTGTACAAATCAAAAGTATTCTGATATGTAAAATAGTACAAATTTATGGTTTATTTTGCAGGCAAAAGCTGGGGCAGGATCTGCGACTCTTTCCATGGTTAGGTGTTTTTTTGTGGTTCAAATTTACAAATTCTTTTTTGTTATTTTGTAATCTGATAATTCAAAATCCAATTGTTAGGCATATGCCGCTGTTAAATTTGCTGATGCATGTTTGCGAGGGTTGAGAGGCGATGCGGATGTTATTAAATGTGCTTTTGTACCTTCTGTGGTACGTCGTCATATTCCACCGCCATTTCTTAAATTATTTAGGACTGGACTGGACTGGACTGGACTAAATAGGACAAAGACACTCAATCATGTTCTCTCGTTTGCGCAAAAGACGTAAATGCCCTCATTGTGATCAACAGAAGTAGCCCTAGAAAACTTTTTGTGTTTTATTGCAGGTTACAGAACTACCGTTCTTTGCATCGAAGGTGAGGCTCGGTCGTAATGGCATAGAGGAGATATACCCTCTTGGTCTCCTCAATGAATTTGAAAGGTCAACATTGGCCAATGCTACTTTTATTTTACATTCTTGGTTCCAATTCGTTGGATTTATATCCATCAATATTGGTTGTTGATGCTGTCTCAACTGCCGTAGCTGTCAGCATCAACATCAGTAGTTGTTGATGCTAACTGTTGTATTAGTTGTTGATGTTGTCAACTGCAGCAGTCATCATCAACAACTGATCTGGTCAACATCAATAAATGATGTTGATGCGGATGGTAGAGCTGAGAGCATCACTAGTAGATGGTCAAAACTGTCGGCATCAACATCTGATGTTGATGTTGATGTAGATGGTGCTTGGAATGATGACATGTTATGTCCAGAGCGTTGATAGCGATCAATTTGTTGTAATTAACAGGGTTGGATTGGAAATGGCAAAGAAAGAGTTAGCAGGAAGCATCGAGAAGGGCATTTCGTTTGCAATGAAATGAGCGGGTATGGTGGTTTTGAGTAGATGTTGTATTGTCTCATTTAAAAGGAGAAAAAGATGTTTTTTCGATGCCAACTATATAAAATAAATGATAATTCCTAGAGGATTAAGTTCTGGTTATTAGTGTTTTCGTTTTATAAATAACTAGTTTATAACCCGTGGAAACCACGGTTACAAAATTAATTAAAATTTTATAGTCAGAACTCAAAATTATTAATCAATTATTTTAAATAAATTATTAATTAAGAGATATTTTTTTTGTTATATAAAGTTATAATCGTTAATTTAAATAAATATGTGAAATTATATCACCTTATAATTTGTATTAATTTTATTTTAATTTTTATTCTAATGTTATTAATTTAATGTAATTAGAGTGAGAAATTTAAAATTTGAAATTTGAAATGAAGAATTAATAGGTTGACAACTGTCATGGATTAATTAGAAGGCCTAATATGGTGACATATGGCAAAAAAAGAATAAAATATGCATTAATTAGGAGGCTTAATATGATGAAACTTATCAAAAGGATATTAAAACTATTCTTTTATTAGAATAGGGAGAAGAGATGATTCAATAGTGGGTGGAAAGAGAGTTATAGTGAATTAGTGATTATTCGCTTGAATAAAATTAGTTAATTGTTTAATACAACTTTTGAGATGTTTTAAGAATCGTAAATTGCTCGGTTATATTTATACTACAGCCAATCTGTATTACAATGTTAAAGGTGCCATGATTTGAAACTTATTTGGATAGAAATGTAGTGCAAATTCAAAACTCTCACAAATTATTAACTTGGATAGGAATGTAGACTTACGCCACATATCGAGATCTGATAAAATGATAATTATTCTATTAAATAGATAATAAATATCTATTAAGAAATTAAAAAAAGAGTGGTATAGTTATTTAATTTCTAATGTAGACAAAAAAAAATGTTCAATAAATTCTAAAACAAATAGCAGTTGTTATGAACTTATGTCGCAATTCTTTAAGCAGGTAAAGTTATAAAGTAAACGGTAAACAACGAGTTAAGTTTACCTAAAGAAATCACTGCATGCAACTAGAATTCAGTGATTCCAGCTGAGAATGGTTTCGGTCTAGACCTTTTTTTCGAGTGAAACTCCACTTCTTTGGACATACTCGAAATTAAAGATTTCCTCTGTGCAATTTTAAATACCAATTTGGTGGTTCATCCTAGGGATGTGCTTCGGGCCGGTACCGACCCGAACCCGAACAACCCGAAACATGAATTGGATGAAAAGTGGGAACCGAAACCCGTACCGATTATACTTATATGGGACCGGTCCGGTTCGGGTAATACGGGTTTTAGTTCGGTTATTAACCCGAAATGACTGAAATAACCCAAATAAACATTTACACTATGTTTTTGACCCGAATAACCAAAATCAACATAAATGACCCAAATAATCCAAAATTATACGAATAACCCAAATAAAGAAATTCTATATCTAGTTTAAGAAAAAAAGAATATTAAACATTGATAATTCATATTCCAAAACTCCATAATTCATAGTCCAAAAATCCATAATTCATGATTAAACATTAAACATTAAACATCCAAATTAAAATATGAATCTTAAGTTTTTTGCAAAATAACAATGACCAAATACAAATTAAATATTCGGGAATATTGATTGGTTGTTTTCCCTTTCCACCTCCATTGTTTATCGCGTTTTCCAACTCTTTCACGACGTCGTCATCTTTCAAAACTTAATCAATGTTGTCCACAATTGGCTTCCTTGATTTCCTTACCCATTCTTGGGTGCAAACCAAGGCCTCTAATATATTAACGGACAAATTTGTTGGATATGGATCTAATATCCGCCCACTTGTACTAAAAGCCGCATCGGACGCCACAATAGAAATTTATAGTCCCAAAATATCTATCAACATAAACAAAGAAAGTGTTAAAATATAATTATAAAAAAAGTATAAAAATAAATAAAGTTATACCTTTCGTCATACGAGCTAGAATAGGGTAAAGAGATGTATTTTGTTTCTACCAAAGTAGAATATCAAAATCTTTATTGTATTTAAGTGACCGCTCGTTTAGGTATCGTGTCAACTCCGTTTTTGTAGATGCCGATGGGTAATCCGCTTGTACTATTAAATCACCCATGAAGTCATTCTCGTCATCAAGCATAACTACATCTTCATGAGCACATGTTTGACTTTGAGAAGACTCGGTATTGTCGAACTTTGCTTTGTAGAAATTAAAAAATTTCTATTTTTTTTTCAATGTCCCGTATTAAGGCCTTAGCCTTCAAAGTGACTTCCGAGTTGAATATGAGAGGTTCTCTGGTATTTTTCAACTTAATCAACTTCTCAAAGGCTTGTTGAGTCAAAAATATGATATTGCCGTAAGGAACCCTTTGGGTATTGATTGGTATTATATAACAGTACAACTAAGAGATAAGATGGATCAACAAACCTGATCCTATATTTACAATAAAATACATTCAAAATGATCTAACCCTTATTAATTATAAAATACGTTTACATTCCCCCTTAATCTTAACCGTTACAAGGTTGAGATTGTGTCTTAATTGTTCCAACATACTCTTAGTTGCTGGCTTAGTTAAACCATCGGCTAGCTGATCCTTAGACGATATGAATCGAACATCAAGTGCTCCCATTGCCACCTTTTCTCTAACAAAATGAATATCGACTTCTATATGTTTTGTGTGATCATGAAACACAGGATTTGCTGTCAAATATGTTGCACCTAGATTATCACACCACATGATAGGAGCTCTTGGTTGTCTGACTCCTAATTCTCTAAGTAAGCTTTGCAGCCACATTGCTTTTGTTGTTCCATTTGCGATAGCCTTGTACTCAGCCTCTGTACTAGATCTTGACACGGTCGGTTGTTTGCGAGAGCTCCAAGAAATCAGATTAGGCCCTAGAAATATTGCATAGCCACCTGTGGATCGACGAAAATCCAAACACCCTGCCCAATCTGCATCTGTAAAGATACTTAAGAGTGTTGAATTGGAATGCCTAAATCTGAGTCCTGTGGTTAATGTGCCCTTTACATATCTTAGAATTCTTTTGACAGCCTCCCAATGAATGCATGTTGGTTTCGAAAGATATTGACACACTTTATTGACAGCAAATGAAATATCAGGTCGTGTCAATGTAAGATATTGAAGACCTCCAACCATACTCCTATATTTGAATACCTCTTCATCATTGAGTGGTTTTCCATGGACTTGAGAAAGTTTTTCTGTTACTAACATTGGGGTTGAAATGCTTTTACAATTCTCCATATGAACACGATGTAATAGATCAATAGCATATTTGTGTTGCGATAGTGTTATTCCCCCTGAATTGTGAAGAACTTCAATCCCAAGAAAATAACGTAGTTGACCAAGATCTTTAATTGGAAACGAAGTGGATAAGGCATTTGTCAGCTTGGTAATCGCTGAAGAAGAAGACCTAGTGATGACAATATCATCGACATACACAAGCATGTAGATAATGATGTCGTTATGATGAAAAACAAATAAAGAAGGGTCAACTTTAGAAGGGCGGAAACCAAGTTGTAGCAACTTATCACTGAGTCTTGAGAACCAAGCTCGGGGAGACTGTTTGAGACCATAGATAGCTTTTTGTAATTTACACACAAAATGAGGTCTTTATGAATCTTCAAAGCCAGGGGGTTGCTGCATATACACCTCTTCATTGAGAAAACCATGGAGAAAAGCATTACTAACATCGATTTGTCAAAGAGGCCAACGACGTGAAACAACTAAAGCAAGTATCAAACGAACCGTAGCAGATTTAACCACTGGACTAAAAGTGTCTTGATAATAAACACCATGTTGTTGAGTAAAACCCCGTGCCACTAATCGAGCCTTATATTTATCAATGGTGCCATCAGGATGTTGTTTTAGCTTAAAAATCCATTTATAGCCTACTATATTAACCCCAGGTGGTCGAGGAACAAGTGACCATGTTTGATTTTGTTGCAAAGCAGAAAATTCAGCTTACATAGCCTGTTTCCAATTGGGCTCAGATAGAGCTGTGTGATAAGAAGTAGGTGTAGCAACTAATGCTCGCTTGTTAAGGTCATACATAACTGTTCCATCTGTAAATTTACGTGGAAAGAATTTGCCGGCACGACCACGTGTTTGCACGCCTGGTGGAGATGGATGAGGAGAAGCATCGACAGAGGGCGAAATAGCAGGACTGTTAACGGGAGGATGAGACATACCAGTATATACGCTGCCATGAGGTTGTTGATCCTCAGTGGTGATTATAGGGTCGATATTGTGTTGAGTCTCATGAGTAGCTGGTAATGGTGTTTGAGATATGGTCCCGTGAGACTGATAAGAAACCGGTAATATTGTCGTTACCGGAGTTGTTTCTGCATCACAACTGTTAGACAAAAGCAAGGATAAATCATAGGCATTCATATGGTCATTTAAAATTTCTGGTTCATTCTGTGGAAAAGTGACAACAAGACATGAAGACGAAGGTGTGGTGGTAGTGTCAGAACTTGCAAAGGGAAAGCGAGATTCATCAAAAACAACATCTCGAGAGATATAAACACGACATGTAGTCCTATCGAGACATTTATAACCTTCATGGATCGAACTATAACCAAGAAACAACATTTTGGAACGAAACTCAAGTTTTCGTGAGTTATATTTTCGTAAACTTGGCCAACATGCGCAACCAAAGGTGCGAAGAAACGAATAATCAGGTTTGAGTTTGAGGAGACGAGTAATAGGGGTTAAATTATTGGTTGTTCGACTGGGCATTTGATTTATAAGATAACAGGCTGTGAGAAAAGCCTCATCCCAAAACCGAAGAGGAAGAGAAGAATGAGCTAATAGGGCTAACCCTGTTTCGACTATGTGGCGATGTTTTCGTTCCGCCATCCCATTCTGTTGTGAGGTATGAGGGCATGAGACACGATGTGAAATGCCTACACGTTGAAAATATTGATGAAGTTTGTGATACTCACCTCCCCAATCAGATTGAACAATTCGAATCTTAGCATTTAGAAGACGTTCAACGTGATTTTGAAAGTTATAGAAAATTTGCTCAACATCAAACTTATTTTTAATGAGATAAATCCAAGTATAACGACTATAATCATCCAAGAAACTA